CGACAGAAAGAATGGAAAAAGCATTCCATTCAATTCCTTATGCTCTCCTAAGCAGTTACATGCCTTAACCTCCCAAAACCGATGAGTTTTGGGGGAGTTAGGCTCTTGGGACTGTGCACAGCAATTGCACAAGCTTCGGAGGTCCCTCGCAACCTCCCCCACGCATCATCATCCTATCGCCCCCGTACGCCGGGCCCTCGGGGCCCCCGCAGTAGAGGTGGCCACACTCGGGTACCGTCCGCTCCGTTGCGTCCGGTTCGTAAAAGTGAGTGTGATATTCGTCCGGTAACATCCGGTCCGCTGTTTGCCGTACTGCCGTCCGCAGAATCCAGCTCTCACTTTTTCTTCACCGTTATTTGCTGTTAAATTAACGGAGGGCGTGCGCGGCGTCCGGTCCGCAACAAAACATCCGTGGATTCATAATTTTGGTCCGTTCTGTCCCGTAGGTACTTGCTTTCCAGCCACGGCAAGGTCAAGGCGAAGTTGCCAGGGGTCTCCATTCTGCAGCAACTCGAATTGTGTTGGTTGCACGCTTCATAAACGTGTGTGGGCGTTTTCCAGGTCATGTATTCTGCGGTTTGTAATACATGGAGTGTTTTGGAGAACTGAACAACACACAAGCCGTGTGTAAAGTTCCAGTGTATGGTATGCCAACCTGCACCACTTGCTGCGGCTGGTACTGCTGCATAGTACGCAGTGCGCACCACACTCCCATTGCAAGTCTTCCCGGCCATTGCAGCAAGGGTTCGGCATAGTTGCAATACCAAACGCGGACACACAAACACCCACATCACTTGAGGCAGGCGGCAAAGAGGGTTCACCTCTGAACACAGTTGAGCCACTCAACATACTTGCGAATGGGTGATACGTATCACATATAACGATGGGTTGCTGCGGCGGTACTCCACAGTTTCCACGCCAGGGCAGCGAGTGTAAAGCCCATCCAACATAGTACGTCGAAGTTCAACAGTTCAACACATGAAAACGGGCAATGAATAATACGAGTCGTTATTTGTTATCGTCCATCTCTACCTATTGCACCCTCACTGCGGCGGTACTCTAGAAGTTTCCACGCCAGGGCAGCGACTGTAAAGTCTATCCACCAATCGCAGTATTTGTTGGGACGCATTTCTTAAATAAAATTTTCTTCTATCTATATGATACCCAAGGTTCATCCACCACTCAACATAGTGTGTTCAAGGTGTGCACATCAACACAGGACAACGGAATATTACAAGTCATGATATCTTATCTTCTATCTCTATGGTAACCGCACCCTTGCTGTGGCGGTACTCCACAGTTTCCATGCCGGGGCAACGAGGGTGGTCACCGGTGATCCAAACTTTGGAATCCAAAGTCACTACTTCCCTCCCTTCCCTCCCTTCCCTCCCTTCCCCCCCTTCGTGCGTCGATGCGCTAGCTTCTGCTGCGACCATCCACTCTCTGCCATCTGCCACCCTAGCAAGCTTAAATGATCCACGTTCTCGGGCTTGAGAACCATGCTCTTGGCCCGAACTATTAGACCGGCCTTGGAAAAAGATCGTTCACTACTGGCGCTGGAGGCCTGCAACACAACCAAAAATACTCAGTACTTCTCAGCCTGTGAACTTCATAAG